CTTAAATCATACTCGCTTTGTCATTTAAACAAATAAATATTTGCATGCATATTGTATAATGTTAATATAATTTATCATTGTCATGAAGCATCATAGTGATACAGTTAAGTGATTTTATTATTACAATGTCACAATCTAAAAATTCTAATTAAAATACTATTCATCACAGTCCATAATAGGACAAGAGTTTGTTCTGATCTTGGAGCAATATTTCTTATCGAAGATGCGCATGATGGCTTACATGACAAACAACATACATCAATGTACGCTGAAATATACGGTATTTATAATTATGGTAGTTAACATTAATAAACATGCAATCATTTTAAAATAACCAGCAAACATAAAAACACACATACATACAAAACAACGCCAGCAAAACATTGTAATATTATCTGATTTTAAACACTTACACACCCCACAAATATTGAAAACTGGATTATGACGTATGAGAGCTTAATATTTAATGAATACTTACTTCTTAGCGAAAGTCGATAACCTTGGGCCTGTTTATATAAAAACAAAAATATGCAAAAATCAGAAGTTCCTTTATTACATGAACGATGGTGACATATATAAAACAGAAATCTGCCCGTCGACTGGTGGCAATATACATTGTTTTGAATATGCTTTTATAATTTGACATGATCATCTTAAAAACCCGTTCAGTCACAACTATTTTAAAATTTTATTTGAGTTGTGTTCCTAAATAACAGGTAAAATATTAAAAGTACTAACAACAAAGAACAGCTATAGACAGTGCTCAAATTACGGATTACTGAATTAAAATATTGGTAATACAGTACGCATTATAGGAAATTGTTATAGCACGTAGTTGTTAAAAATCTGTACGATTTGACGCCCACGTTAAGTATTTGCTGTGGGTATTCAATGAAGTAGCTCGTATGTCATTCAATGTGTCAGTTGGATATTTTGTATGAATTTATAAATACTTAATGGAAAACAATTTACATGATATCCTGTCATATAATCCAATGTTAAAATAAAAAAAAAACATCAAATGTGTATAATTGGGAATACTTAACACACACAAACTTTTGGTAATCGCAAACATATACGATACGATGATACGGTGTCATACGATTTACGGAGAAAATCGTCTCTTTTGCATTAATATTCAATGGGCAATGAAAATATCGTCTTTGCGATAAAATTGTGCCAAAAAGCTTTCCGATTGAAAATGTGCCATTTGTAAAATACCCGATGCTATCATTGCGAGCTGAAAAAATAATCGAAAAACGGATGTAACATTTTGATCGGATAACAATTTGTATTGTGGCGTGAATTCTGTAGGAGACCTTATATGTAAATGGTATGCACATTGAAATCGTCATTTTGCTCTGATATCGATGTGTACATGAATCAGTATGTACATATTTGTAACAATACAGTAGTATTGATAAAGTGCTATTTCTATGTTATCCATATAAATTGTAATGGATATCCCACCCCTAGTAACAATCTTAATAGATAGAAACACACACACATCTCATTTGTTATTGTTGTGTTATTGTTCAGGTATGAGAGTGTATTACATTGCTATATTTTAAAATGTTGGTATAGTGCATATGATTTTTATTTTGATTTGTGGCATATTTGAGTTTATTTTATTCATTTGTGATGAGTAAATCAAGTACGGTACATCTGGGATTTAGGTGTATGTACTACACAACGATACCGGAAATCCTTACCTTTTTAGTTACGACCAAAAGTAAAACAACACATAATACCATCATTGCTTTATAGCTTGACATCTGTAGAAAAGTTGAAATTGAAATTGAATTTGATATTAGTGGCATTATTATTCATGGACATGTTCATTCTAGGATTGCGTTGGAGAATATTTGCATTCAGGTTATTTATTCTTGATGCTGTCACTCATATCCAATAATTGTAAACGGGACCAACATGTTGCATTGAACGGAAAACCTAAAATCTTTGGTTCGAATCCAGACTGTTGCTTATAAAAAAATGTTATAAATAGTGACGGCTTTGAGTTCCAAATGTTAAATTCCTATTTCAGATGTACATACCAGGAGTTTGTGTATGGTAACAACAATTTATGCATATCATCTCACCTTGTAACAAAGTGCTCGTTTCTAAATATTTTGTTCTTTCATTCTAGTGTGGATCTTGATATCAGTATGTATTTTAAGAATATATACCGCATTTGCTTGCAATGTTCCACTGTTCTTTTTTTGAGTAGTATGTTATTGTGAGGGAGCGACACAGGTTGTCAGTAAGTGTAAACACAGACTTTGGTAAATGATCGTGTACGTAATTCTGCTATTGTTTTACATGATTCGTCTATATGTTAAGTGTGTGTGTATCAGAGTATGGTTGATTTCCTTTCAACTTGCACAAAACACCCAAGCACATTTTCCAATATGCTAACATATGCGACGTGAGCCCGATATTTTACAATATTCATTGAATACAAATATGTATTTTTAGATTACATTTACATTTCTGTATCGCTATATGTGACGGAGTAGTATTGGGTGAATTGCAGTAAATGTCACTTGATCCCATTATTTTGTGGCAGTTATACCTCCCAATAAATCATCTGTTCAAAAATTTCTATCAGTAACATTGCAACGTCTATAATAGTAATTACACTCTGAAGCATATGTTTACAGTTTTCTATCAGATACAGTGGTCTAATTCCCGTTTGATAAATATCAATGTGATCCATTTTTAGGATTTAATGATTATGAAACTGCAAAAAAGGAACTTACAGCTCAATCTAGCTCTGCTTGTGATGATGCTTCTTCTTTCGTCGTCAGACAGGGAGTGTGTCATAGGTCGCGAGTGGGTTTAGTCTCTTCTCTAAAATTAGCAATTTTGTTGTGAATACCAGGAGATATAAAAGCGAGTGGGTGTTTCAAATAAAAGAACAGGGGTGTGTCCGACAACATCTATCGCGAAATAATCATGCATAGCATTTTCTTCTAATTTTGAACGATTTTTGTTTCTCAATAGTAGTGTGTAATTTCTTTATATCAGTGTTTGTTTACAATGTTTCGTTGTTTATTGAGTCAAGTTTATTATGACTGTAGGAAACATGCTTTGAGTTAGTGTAAACACAGACCTTGGATGTAGCTGAAAAATAATCGATTAGTGATTGAGTCTGTTGGCGTGTTGTTTTTGTGCATATGCCGGACGGCTTGCGAGCGGAGTGTCTGCCAGATCTTGAGCTTATTCTGTGATGTGGTTTTGTCTCAAGAGACGCTAGAATAACTAAAAGAGACCAGTCTTCATCTAAACTACATGTACACCAAGGACAGTTGACTTTGTTTACACAAATATACAGTAAATTCAATTGTGCCTGTCTATGGAATGACGGAATGAGTACATTAGTGTTATGTGATTGCATCTACAACCAGAACACACCATTATGTATACAGGGGATGGTGGACCGCTATCTTTGCTATCTATCTACCCATTGTTTATGCAAATTTGACCCAAAGAAACAAACAAACTAGGCGGGCAAATGACATACTAATGACATACTAATTATATGCATACACACTGGATGATGGACGTTGTCTGATATATCCGGGTATTTTTCCTGCACTCGGTTTTTCAAACACCCCCAGGTTGTTATATCTCCTGGTATTTTCACTGTAAATATAGTTTTTAAACACATTCCTTTCCTTACGTCGAAAGTAGAAGCAGCCACCACAAATAGATCCAGACTGGTATGTAGGTTACTTATTTCAACACTCATACGTTTTTTTTCTCAGATTCATATTCCTTTAAGGGCAGTGGTCGTCGCGCCGCGTTCTGTTCAATATGGGACTCATAGCAACGTACACAACGCGTGTAAAAGTGTAAAATACATTGTTTATTTACATTAAATTCGACTACCACCCTTCAACTACTCAAAAAATCTCATCAATGTGTAACAAAACAATTCCATATACATTTTAGACTAATATATCACTGATTGAAAACTCTAATTTGATAAATGTTTCAGAATGTAAATGTATATGATCACTTTAATGTGTCCAATATGTTTGACTTGTGGTGGCATTAAGTGATATTTACCGTAATCCAATACATACTCCTTACATCGAGGACTATATGTAGCATATGTAGATATTACAGAATCTTTAAAAACAATTGTGTTTACGTACTATGATATTCAGATAGTGTCCACAAATTTCCGTTAATATATTGATAATTGTCTCGTTTTTTTAATTATGTGTATCACTGGAAACAAAGTCTTAGCACAATTTATATATATCGGTTGTATTTGTATAGGTTTTCTGTACACTGTTATTAAAACCACAGTTCATCACTGGAAACTCATTCGTTTGCTTGTAGAAATACGTACTGCATTATTCTCACTATATTTGTACTGGAATACAATATATGTACATTTATACATGGTATTAATAACATCGTTCGCTTCTCTATGCATATAATATACGCCCCTCCCATAAGCAGCTTTCCTATGCACAGAACCCGACCCGACATCTTGTTACTTTCCCATATAGTGACAGGACGTTTGATCACGCCTCGCACAGACCATCCGTGGCTTTACAATTTCACCAAATCGTGCAAACAAAACACGCATAAATTACCGGATAACAGACCCATTGTTTTCTATTACCCCAATGGTGTGAGCACGTTTGCTTATGACGAACTCAATAACCACGTCATATCGAAATGTTGACACCCACATGTTTTGATATATTTCAGGGTATTTACAATACAAATGGCGATTTTACAGTGGTGACTAACAAAATCGAGTTTATCGGGTGCGATTAAAGTAATCACTATTTTTGGAGCCATGAGTGTATTCACGATTATAACGACACATTGGCAACATTTTAGGCTAGTTGTATCCGCATCTCACTCTAAATCAGCATTCAGTAAATGCAATTCAGGGCAAAACAAAGTTTAAGTTTTGCCACTGTAAGGCTTGGTGAAAAAGAAAAATTGAACTCCGCGACAGTTTTAATTGGAATTTTAATTAATTGGAATTGAACATTTTACTAAGGTCAAATATGATTGGAGTCCAAAATGAAACTAAAATGTTATATGCTATTATGCTATACATGTGAAAAACATCTATACCTTTTCCATCCTTACAGTCTGGAAGTTTTGGAATTTTGGTGGAAAAGTGGTTGAAAAATTTGCCAGTTATTTTTTTTCTATTTAATATCCATAGTTCTATATCTGTCTTTAGCTGTCCTCACATGCTAACTAGTTTTAGTTGGTATGCTCTATCCGCTCTCTGCTGATCATGTAATTCCCCACCACCTTCCCAGACGTATTTTTCACCTTCCTGAAATGTACTATATAAATATGTATTATGCACATCAATACTAAATTTCGAATACGTACAAATACGATCAAACGCACATTAAACAAATGAAATGATAGCTATTCTGGCTGACAGCGCAATGTATAGTATACACCATTATAATCACCCCACCCCTCCCTTAATTGGTATACCAATAAGTGTTTGTGTGTGCGCAATATAATGCTTCTTTTTTCTACAATAAACCGTCGTGATTCACTTCCTGGGGTGTACCCTGGCAGCGACGTAGTTAGCATGGTAATGCTTTTATGGTATAGACTGTATCTTGCATGAAATGGTAGTCTCACAATGCTTTCCAAAAGTGTAGTACAACACAACGTAGAAGCGCAAATTAAAAAAAAAAATTCACATGTGACATCACAATCAACTTCATACAATAACAATCCCGGTTCTCTGTTATGGGTACCAGGGGTTGTCCCAATCTACCAATCTATTTGGCATAGTTGAAGTACAGTCCACCATACTCTCTTATATAGATATTGATCTGGTCTCGCTTGTAAAATTGTAAGTCATATATAAATCATACGCTATTGACAGAGAATGTAATGTTGTCCAACATCCTATATATGAAAAACAGTTGAAACGCAGTTCACTATATATAAATTTGCAAATACAGTTCACTATCAACTGTGCACATAATGGATATTAAGTTAAAATATGGTAATACACATATGCTTGGCCAAAACTCAAACTTTACTTTATTTTATCGATGTTATGGGCATAATACACTAAGCCACATATCATCATACAATATTATGTTTGAAATATAGAAATAATAAATATGCTGGATTAAAAGATCCAAGAACGAACACATAAAATATAATAAAGCATGTTACTTAACGAGTGTAAACAATGCAGGTTTCGTCTATCAGGGTTGTTATAGGTGGATGGCTCGTCAGGTTGAATATACGGGAAGTAGTTGTAACGGGGAATGGGTAACTCGCAAGACAGTGAGTGGTACTCCAGGATCGCTCGACACATATACGCACCATTCAGTCATAAGGACATCAGTAGTATAGTACAGCCATATTGTCGC